GTTGGGTCTAGAAATAATGATCTCAGCGGCAGATAGTGATTTTAACTTCAGAATTACGTTTTGCTAAGGTTACCACTATGAGTAGTCCTTAAAGAGGCACATCATAAAGAATAGTTAAGAGAAGCAGCCAGAAATTTCATTTTTGCTCTGATGCCCCTGGCCTGCCAGACTCACTCAGAACCTGTCTTTGAGTAAACAGGACCTTCTCTGGAGGGTTCCAGACTCAGTTGTAGGGTGCAGATCAGAATTGCTTCCTGCAGTTCTTTAACATTCAGGAAGGCCGTTTGATCCTTCCAAGGCCCCAGTTCTAGCACCTCCTGAATTCCCCTGGTCGCCCTGTCGGCTCCACCCCATTCCTACCCACCTCCCTTCAGCCTCCTCCAGTGGCCGTTCCAGCCTTTGCCCTCCATTACACAAAACTGCCTGCAGGGGCTTGGTTTTCTCCCATACTGTGCCCCTTGCAGAGATGGCTTCTCCCTGTCACACGGCAGCCCTACGTCCCACCTCCCACCTGTTTTGTGAATGTTCTTCAGTCCCACGTTTGTCCCCCGTAGGGCTGTTTCTGTCCACTGCAGAAGTGAAAGTTCAGTGAAGACAGTTGAGAGGGGGAGGAGGAGGAGGAGGATTAATTACTACCGGGATGTTTGCCTGGAGTTTTAATTAGACTCTTTCCTTACTTCCCCCCACCCCACCCCCCTTTTTTTCCCCTAGCTCAGAACGTCTACTTAGAATGTCAGTATTTTAGAGGCTTGGAACATTAGGTTTTAACATTCTGCACCCAGAGCCTCAGTGTAATAAATAAATCAATACACTGATTGCCTCCAGTAGTTTGATAGCCGAGCGCATTGGGGTACCTTTTGTTCTTGAGTGAATGATCATTTCGCACACTCGCAAACGAGAGGCGAATGTGGGTGTACCTACCACTTGTCCGGGTTTCTGATTTGCAACCCTGACCTGGGAAGTCATTATTTCCATTGATGTGTGTAGCTTACGAGCAGCCTGCCAAATGCTCTGTATCCTTCCCTTTGACGGTTTTCCCAAGTTATGTGTGTCATAAAAACATTTCTCATTCGCCCGAATAGTCCTGGGTTTGTTTTGAATCTGACAGGTCCTCTGACACCACATTCTTAAATCTCACTAACAGATAATTTATACCAAAAATGCTTCCTTGGCAGGAAGTAAAATTGTCTGATTTTTAATTTGGGTTGAAAATCAAACTCAAGTTATGACAACACTGAGACTCCTAGGCCCCACAGTTTAATCATGATTATCTTACCGTGAAATACTTTTCGGAGTAGAAACTACCCTCCATTTATTGTTTCTGTCAAAACCTTTGATTCGAAAACTTTTTACAATGGGAAGGTTGTCATTTCTAAAGATATACTTATTTATTTCATGATGTGTCCCAACCATAATATGGTTGCCCTTTGTTTTGTGCAGTAGGTATGCCCCTGCAGAGTTGTTTATAAACTGAATTTTTTTTGATAAATTCATAGTTCAATGCACATGAGGTGCTATTATTTTACTTAGTGAGTTCTTTTTTTTTTTTTTTTTAAGGTTTTTTTTTTTTTTTTTTGAGACAGAGTCTCACTCTGTTGCCCAGGCTAGAGGGCCGTGGCGTCATCCTAGCTCACAGCAACCTCAAACTCCTGGGCTCAAGCGATCCTCCTGCCTCAGCCTCCCGAGTAGCTGGGACTACAGGCATGCGCCACCATGCCCGGCTAATTTTTTTCTATATATTTTTAGTTATCCAATTAATTTCTTTCTAATTTTAGTAGAGACGGGGTCTCGCTCTTGCTCAGGCTGGTCTCGAACTCCTGAGCTCAAACAATCCGCCCGCCTCGGCCTCCCGGAGAGCTAGGATTACAGGCGTGAGCCACCACGCCCGGCCAGTGAGTTCTTTTATAATTAAAAAACTACTCCCACATTTATTTGAGAAGTATAATGCTCATATGTTGGGTCTTGTTTAAATGGGGTAATCTTAATAAGAATCAGGCAAGATTACCAATTCTTTCTACTCCCAATAGTTCTAGTATATACCATGTTTCAACCCAGTAGGAGACTGCAGGCTTTGTAAGTTCTACATTTTCTCACTGGTATTCAAAATGTTTACCCAGGAACATCTGCCCTGTTAGAGCCCCTCCTTCCTCTTTCTTGTGTCATCCTTTCAGGGAAGGAAGTAGGGATGCCAGCTCAGAGCTGGGATGATTTGTGATGTTCTGCTGTAATATTAGGTAACCTATCAGGTAATTTCTCTTGAGCATCTCAACCTAGAGCGCCATGCTTCTGTGCATTCTGCTTATCTATTGTGTAGCAAACCACCCCTAAATTTAGTGGCTTAAAAAATTTATTTTTGTCTCTGACCATTCTGTGGGTTGTTTAGCTCATCTGATTGGTTTCTCACTTGTGCTTCCCACACGTGATTGCTGTCAGAAGTTGGCCGGGGCTGCTGTCATCGGAAGGCTGGGCTGGGCCAGACGACCAAGGGGCTCCCTGGCGTGACTGGCAGTTGAGAGTGTCAGCTGAGAGCTCAGCTGGGATGTGGACCAGAGCGTTTACATGTGACCCCTTATGTGGCTGCACTTTTCACATGTTGGTTGGGTCCCAGAGGGAAAGTCCCAGGAATGAGTGTTCTAAGAGACCGAGGCAGAAGCTGCAAGGCTTCTTATGACCTCGCCTCAAAATTCCAGAACATCACTTCTGCCATATTCTGTTGGTCAAAGCCAATGACTACGGCCAGCCCAGATTCGAGGGGAAGGGAATTGGGCTTCACCTCTTGATGTGAGTTGCAGCACATATTATAGTAGGGAAAAGAATGGATGGGGCCTATTTTTTAACTGTCTGCCATAGTGTTTCAGAGGAAGAGCATTCTCTAGCAGAATGAGGTGCCGTAAATATGAAGGGCACATGAGTTATTGTGGGAAGCGTAGGGAAGTTATAGAACGCTTAGTATGTAACTTGGCCAGCCTTATTGGTTAGAACTCAGTACTGGAGCTCACAATGAACAAGCCAATTTCCATGGAAGCCAGTTAGCGTCCCTCCAAGAGAAATGTTCCCCGCTACTCACCCCAGCCCTAAATTAGCCCACCCATATTACAGATGTTTGAAAAAAATAACCTGGTAAGGGAATCTAAATAGCACGGATTTAAAGAGATATTTACCTAGAAGCTACCGCAAGCGTGTATCCTACTCACATCGAGTCAGCAAAACCATCTTCATAAATTAGAACAAACACATAGAGAACTGTGAATTAATGCATCCAGTACATTTGTCTTTCAGCTTACATTTTGGAGGTGCTTAGAGAAGGCTGCGCCCGTGGAGTATCTTAGATTTTTAAAGTAAATACTTTTTGATGTTTAAGAAAAAGTAAAGTTCTGTCCATGTGCTTGAAAGTGTAATTGCCTCCTTAGCCTTAATTAAGAAAACAGCTGCCCCGTTAATCATACTGAGCTACAGGCACCTGGATTCCAGCTGTGGAGCTTGGCTGATCTGGATGCACAGTCTCACAATTCCCTTGAATACATTACTTTTTGCCCTTTGTAGCATTTTTTTTCCTTCCCCCGGCATACTCCTCTTTGGCTCCCTGGGGATTCAAATTTGTGTTTATCTGTGCTGAAAATTTACAGGCAAGATAAACAACATTTTAAGCTATTTATAACCAGAGGCTGTGCCAGGAATGATTAGGTTTTGCATTAGACATATGTTAAAATGTTGCTCGCTGGGAAAGGTAGGAAGACTATCCCTAGGTGTGGAAAGCAGATGTTTAGAGATTGATAGAAGTTTGACCCAGAATATGGCCATGTGAGGTTAGTACTTGCTTAGTTTGGGCTTCTATGACAAAATGCCATAGACTGAGTAGCTGATAAACAACAGAAATTTCTCACACTTCTGGAACCTGGAAATCCGAGATCACGTGCCAGCATGGTTAGGTTCTGGAGAGGGTCGTCTTCCGGGATGCAGACTGCCCACTTCTCATTGTATCCTCACGTGGTGGAAAGAGCACAAGAGAGCTCTTGGGGTTCCCTTTTATAAGGGCATTAATTCCATTTGTGAAAACTCCACTCTCATGACTTAATTACTTCCCAAGAGCTCCACTTTCTGATATCATTGCATTGAAGGGTAGGATTTCAACATCTGCATTTGGCGGGGGACACATTCAGTCCATAACATTAATCTGTTGATTCATTAAATATATTCTTGTGGAATGGTAGGAGATGCCATTTATATAAGGCCCATATTTTTATACTCCCAGGAGGGTATTTGGCAAGGGTAAGGGACATACTCTGGAAGGAGGTATGGGAGAGAGGATGAGGAAGGAGGCACCATACAAAAATAGACCTTAAGGCAGTGGACAGAATGTGGGAGCGATAGAACCCCACCCTTACCTGACTTCTTCCATGTAAATCATCCCAGAGAGAGGAGACCTCTCCTGCTCTTCAGTTCCCCAATGAAGAGGCCACACCCTCCCCACGAGCAGCCTAAACACTCACCTCTCCGTGAGTCACAGCAGTGTAGACCCACAGTCCACCTTCCTTCCTCACTTCCCTTCTGCCTGCAAATACTGATTGAACTCCTACCATGTGGCAGGTACCGTGTTACATGGAGGAATAAGACACATGAACTCTCAAGTTGGGAGACATATAATAAACCAGAAAACAAACACCATAATTACAGACTATGATTAGTGTTATAGAAAAGGGGGGTGTCATAAAGAATAATGAGGGATGTCTTATTTTGGACAGATGATCAGTGTAACCTTTCAAGGAGGTAACATTAATGATCTTAAAGCTATTGATCAAACTTTGACATATGTTATGTAATATTTTAAAGTTTCTTAAATAGCATGTTGTTAAGGTTCAAGTTAAAATCGTTTTTGCCTTTTCTGAGCCTGAGCAGCAGAACGCGAAGTGGATGGCAGTTCTGGGGAGCAGAGGGAAGCCGGCTGGGTGGCCAGACCCCTCCTTGCCCGCACTTTCCTCATGACAACCTTCTCTCCTTAGGGAAAGGAGACGTGTTTGGAGATGTGTTCTGGAAGGAAGCCACCCTTGCCCAGTCCTGTGCCAACGTCAGGGCCTTGACTTACTGTGACCTGCATGTGATCAAACGGGATGCGCTGCAGAAAGTGCTGGAATTCTACACGGCCTTCTCCCACTCCTTCTCCCGGAACCTGATTCTCACCTACAACTTGAGGAAAAGGGTGAGCTGACCATTTCAGTTTTTTTCTACAAAGAATAGTCCCTGCGCGCTTTGGACAGTCACTGTGATTACTTAAGTCCTTTCACTGTGTATTTAAGTGGAGTAATTGGTTCTAAAGAGGTTCAGTTCATTGCTTTGCAGAGCTTTTGCTATAAAATGGAGGAAAGAGAGAATGTTGCTAGATTAGAAGATGGATCAATTTTGGTGCAGAAGGGATTTGTTCATGTGTGTCTGTGGGCTTTTTTCGTCAGCAATATCTAGACCTCCCAGCATTGTAAAAAGATGAGTAAAACATGAGGTTGCTAGTCAATAAATGGCTGCATGGGGCCACCTAATTAATGTCAACTGAATTCTCCCTGGTGACCGGGACCTGCTGAGTGGTGTGAGGCCAGTAGCCAGCCAGCTGGTAATGATAATTTTTAAAAAGATGTGAAAATGACTTAGTTGCATCCAGAAAATAAGAAAGAAATGGAATTTGATTGTCTAGAGAATATTTTGTGTATAACTGCTAACTAAACTGGTTGAGAAACGATTAGTAGTTTAAGAACCAGACAGTTTCTCATCTGAAGTTGTGTCTTTCATCCTCCAATCAGAATTGCTCCATCTGTCGCTGTGGGAATTGAAATATTTGTGTTGTACTCTTTGGGTTTTCGTGACTGATTTTCTTGCATTTCATATATCGCTTTTGGTTAAAACATTAACAAGGTAGCTCTGCACCTAGAGAAGTCTTCTAGAAAAGTTGTCATAGGAATCTTTCCCAAAATGACCTTATAATCTTTCCCTCAAATCTGTTCCTCATCTCATGGTTCCCATGTCTGTTTACAGTGTCGAATTTGTCTTGAGGTTCCAGATTTGAAACCTGGGCATCATCATTGATGTTGCTTCTCCCTCGCCCATGCTTTGAGTTACTCATAAGGTCCTGTTGGTTCCACCGTAGCTCTCAAATCTGAGCCCATACTTTGCTTCCCTCACAGGGCCCTCACAGAACTCTCAGGACGCAAAACCCCTCCTTACAGACCCTCCCCATGCCCTGGCTGGATCATGCAGTGGGCTCCAAACTCAGCTTCCAGCCTCATGTTTGCCCCCGTGCGATGCTCCCTTCTTGTGGCCACTCACCCAACCTTCTTAAAAAGTAATCTGATCATGTCTTTCCCCCACCTGACTACAGGATAAGGTCTGTACGCTTCAGCATGGCTTATGTGGTTGTCCACGTCTGGCTCACACTTAACCCCTGATCCCCGACCTCAACCACTCCTCCCCAGGCCCATCCCTGCCACCATGAAGATTCCACACAGTTCTTCAAGCATACGATAGCCATTCGGAGCACTGTGTCTCTGCTTGCTGCTTCCTCAGCCTGGAATTCTTTTCTCTCCTTCTGTGTGTGACAAACCCCTGTGAACCTTTAAGACTGCTGAAATGTTTACTTATTTGTTCATTCATCAAACCCAGTGCTGTGCCAGCTGAACTAAGCTTGACATATAAAACCAAATTATACTCAATTCTCTATCTCCAGAAACCTGAAGTCTAATGGAGAAGATCAACACGGGAAGGACAATTGCAGCAAACAATGTTGAATACAATGATCGTGATTTTGTACAAAGTGCCGTGGGGGCAGAGAGGAAGAGGGCAGCTTGGGGGAGCTGGGATGAAGTGTCAGGGAACGGTGCCTGGGCTGAGTCCAAGGATGAGTTTGCAGAACAGAAGGGCCAGGTGTTCCACTCGGAGGGCAGTTTGAGCAAAGTCTGAAGAAAGGAAACAACCTTTTGTCTTCTAAGTCCTTTGTACAAGGTTCCAAACGCCTGTCATTGGGTTACCCCTACAATATTCCTCCAGCTAGTTTAAGATCCTTGAATTGCACTTGAGTTTCGAGTCCCCGCTCAGAGACCTGTGAGGGCAGGGGCTTGATGCCTTAGTATCCTCAGTGCATAACTGAGCGCAGGGCACCTAGAACTGACAACGTTTGAGGACGGTAAAGAGAAAGAGATGGCACCTATGGGTCTCAGTTTCCACATCATAAAATGCGAAGCTGTGGCTAGATGCTTTTCGTGATTCTGTGCTTTGAAACCTGGGCATTTAAATTCCAGTGGGGGGTGGGCAGTGGTAGCGAAGGGTGCATCCATAGTTGTTCCTGGTTGATCTAATGGCTGGGAACATAGAGTGCTTGCTGGTGATACTTTTAGCCAAGTGGATTCTCTTACAGTCTATTTTTGATTTATTCCTTCTTTCTATAAAAGCAAGTTGATTATAATCAGCTTTCAGTGTTGTCGGTAATGTAGGTTGAAAAAAATAGGCAGTTTGGGTTACTTGGAGGAGTAATCATATTGGAATCAGTGTGGATCAAGTAAATCTGTCTTTAAAAAAAACAAGAATGACGACAAAAACAACAGCTCAGCGGTCAGATTGTTTTGATAAGTACAGAGTGACTGACAGCTCTGCAGAAGAGAAGACTTGGGGGCCACCTTTTAGAAGGACTTTGTACAGCCACAAGGTGCAGGGGAAGAACCAAAGTTGCAGCCAGAGTTTAGCCAGCATAAGAAAGTCCTTTGGAAAGATCAGAGCTCCCCAAAGAATGAAACAGGCTGCTTTAAGGGTGTCAGGTTTTGTTGTTCTGAGGGTATTTAGGCAACTCCTAGGTACCCATGTTCAGAAACATTGTGGAAAGGACTTAGGCATCTGATGGAGAGTCAAACTAGTCAGCTTTCAAATTTCCTTCCAACCCGAAGTGCCTATGTATGAGACTGGTGTGTATTCAAAGGAGTTTTAGTGAGAGCCTTTATGTAAAGAGGTGGCCATTCTTTTTTCGGGAAAAAAGCGGCTTGTCCTTTTGGTATTGCCATTGTAGTCTGTCATTGTGTCCTTCTGAGAATTAATTCATAGTTGCATAGGGCATAGAAGATGAGAACATTACATGCATGAATTATTCTTGTAGCTATTTTTTTTCCTTGGCAAAGTGAAGTGTATTCTTGTGGCTGTTTCTATCTTGGCAAAATCAAGTGTGTTATTTGCTAAGATCCTGAGACTCCTGTGCCTTCGACATCTGTTTAAGGAGTTGTTTGATCTTGCAGATCTCCTCCAGTGTGCACAAAGACTGAAGTGGAAGGCACCTCAGTGGCCATTCCATCTCTTCCCCATTTCCCACCACCCTCATTTTACAAGTATGACATTTTATACAAAGGTCACAGAGCTGGGTTGGTAATGAAAGAACTGGAGCCAGAAATGACTCCTCATCCAGGAGGCTTCCTGCTCCTCACAGCTTCCTGGCCTGCTCTGGCCTCTGTATTCTAAGCCTTATCCCTTTACCCCTAAACCCAGATGTATGAGCACCACCTCTCTCTCAGCTCTACTCTTGGGACCCAACTCAGGAAGGGACCTGCCACCTTCCTCCGTTTCCCTCCAAAGCCACAAGGCAAGGCAAGGATGCGGGAGGCAGAACCTGGAGGCCATTCTAGTATTTTGACCTTTAGTCTTTCTTTCTTGTGGGCTCTGAGCCAGACTTCTACTGCTTAGTGCTTCTGTTGGTCTGTACAAGCTATAAAAGCTTCCTCATCTGTACAATGGGGATGCTGAAAATTTCTACCTTGTAGGATAGTTGCAAAGATTAAATAATATTTGCAAAGCTCTTATACACAAAGCCTAGCACATAGTAAGTCCTCAATTAAGTTACAGTTTATTTTTATTTTGGATTTGTCCACTTGAGTGATATCCTACCCTTTATTACCTTGTGCTTTTTGAAAAATAAAAAGAAGGCAATTCCTCTGCCTTTGCTTGTACAGGGTTTTTGCTCTACAGAATGTTCTGTGGGGTGGGTGCCATCCCAGGGTTCTCTGTACCTTCTGCAGCAAAGGAGGGGCATGCCACTCTGGGAAATGGAACCCGTTGCCGGCCTCTCCGTCCCCCTCTCTTGTCAGTGGAGAAGTCAGCACTCACCCACTGTTTTGGCCAGATCCATTCTTGGAGGGAAAAATGAGGCTATTTTGAGATCTTAGGCCAGTCACCAGGGAGTCAAGAGGAAAACACAGTCATGCAAAGAAGGGGCAGTGGGGCCTTCCTCATCCCAAACCCCAGCTCTCCAAGGTGCCAGCTCTATGGGCATTTTCCTCCAGGCCCAGAGTCCTCTTCTGTCTGTAATCAGAGCTTTGCATATTATTAGTGGTAAAATTATTACCAACTTCAGATATTGCGCAAGCTACCATATAATGTCACTATGTTTTATGTCAGCTTACTAAATATTCAGAACGGCCTCATGACATTGCCATGTCATCCCCATTTCTCCAGGGAATAAACTAGAAGACAGTGGGGAAGAGAATCCCTTTTCTGAGGTTACTCATTTAGCAAGTGGCATTTTCTGACCCCGTGTGTGCTCCTCTGGCTGCGCAGTGCCACATCCCATGGTGGGACTTCGTGAAGTGTGCTCTCAGCTTTGCCCGTGGCGGCCTTCTTTGGCTTCTGCTTTCTTCCAATCTGTTGGCTTTTCAGGGGTGGCACGGGCTGACTCCTAGATACCTCCCTCCAGCACACTTAGAAACACGTACAGTAAAACCACAGGTTGGAGGACATGAGAAGTTTTCCTCTCATAGTAGCAGGCACACCGTAGCTTGCCGAGCGTGCCCAAGAGGCATGGCATACTTCACCTTGGTTAGGCAGCAGGTTAACCCTGCAGGGATATTAGTAACTTACTAGAAAGATCACTGCCTTGAGTCTAAGGACCTAGGTTTGAATGCTGGTTTGACTACTGACTAGCAGGGTGCCCTTGAGCAAGTTTCTTAACTATCCTCAGCCTTAGTTGCCTTATCTGTAGAAAGGGGCTAATAAAGTCCTTTGTAATTAGGTTTATTGAGAAGCTCACATGCATTAAAACAAACAAAAGTGAAAAATGACATAGTACCTATAGGAACCACTGAGCACGTGTTTGGCCCTTTCTCCTCCCCACTGCCCACCCCCTACTTCACCTCCAGTCTTGGAGTCCCTGAGTTCATGCATGGTTCCCCTGGGTTTATAGCC